CTCTGATTCCCAGCACCCACCTAGTAACTCACAACAATCTGCAGGTCCAGTTCTAGGGGATCCCATGTCTTCTGACTCCCACAGGCACCGGGCATGCATGTAGTACACAGACATATACGAAGGCAAAGCATACATAAAATAAACCTAAACAAACAAAAAAGACCACTTCTGGGTGGAAAGATGACTCGGCAGTTAAAAGCACCGTCTGATCTTCCAGAGGACCCAGATTCAATTTCCAGTACCCACATGGCAGCTCACAACTGTCTGAAATTCCAGTTCAAGGGGATCTGACACCCTCACATAGATGTACATAAAATATAAATAAATTATTTTCAAAAACCTCCAAAGCTTGTGTCATGCTTGAAAGAAAATGCAAGCTCCTTCCACATGGGGTAGGGGGAAGGGGGTTCTTCTCCTCCCTGTCAACTTCCACATATTTGTCTTGGGAATAAATTCTAGCCCAGGTGGGTAGTCCTTCTATTCTGTAGATAATCTGGGCCTGTTGCCTTCTCAAAGCCTTTGCATTTACGGTTCTTCCTGCCCAGAACACCCTTCCCTCCAGTTCCCCACAGCTGGCTCTCTCATATCCAGAATTCAATGTCACCTTTGCAATCTGAAATTCTTATGCTATTGTTTAATGAGTTTTCTGTCTCCCCACCCCACTATCATCAAGTTAGAAAGCTCCAAAAGAGTAGGAACCACATCTACTCTTGTACCCCACAGCCTACCACAGCCACAGAAACTTACTGGGTGATGACTGCTCAGAATTCCCCCACCCCATCCAGAAAAGGTTTCACTATGTAGCCCAGGCTGGTCCACAGCCAGCCTCATGATAATTTTTTTAAATATCATCTTTTTTTTTCTCAACAGCAAAAATCTGCCAGAACACTAGGCAGTGTTCTTTGAGAACATTAGGCAGTGGTGGTTGTCTTTTAATGAGGATCTTAAATGAGAATGAAGTATTTCAGTTCATGAAGAACTAATCCACAGCTTTAACCCTAACACAGCTCTTTAAACTGTGTGGTGGTTTGGAAGGAAATGGCCCCCCAAAGAAAGTGGCACTATTAGGAAGTGGCTTTGTTAGAGTGGGAATGTCCCTGTTGGAGGAAGTGTATCACTGTGGATACAAAGAGGGCTTTGAGGTCTCATAGATGCTCAAGACACACCCAGTGTCTCAGACCACTTCCTGTTGCCTGCATGCTCCAGCACCATGTCTGCCTGTATGCCAACATGTCACACTATGATGATAATGGACCAAACCTCTGAAGATGTAAGCCATCCCAATTAAATGTTGTAAGAGTTGCCATGGTCACCTGGAGTTGGTGGTGCACGCCTTTAATCCCAGCATTCGGGAGGCAGAGGCAGGCAGATCTCTGTGAGTTTGAGGCCAGCCTGGTCTCCAGAGCGAGTGCCAGGATAGGCTCCAAAGCTACATGGAGAAACCCTGTCTCGAATAATCAAAAAAAAAAAAAAAAGGGGGACTGACTCAAAATAAAACGGTGTCATGGGGAGCAATAGGTGAGTTTACCTGCCTTCAAGGGCTTTGCATCAAACCCACCATAGGAACCACAGTGTGTTTATGAGGAAATGGCATCTAGGAAGGCCATGACAAATGACATATAAACAGTACAAGCCATCAGCCCCTCAAGGCTGGGAGGAAACAGCCCATAAAAGCTTCACCTAGAATCCGAGTTGGACTGAAATATCATTAGGTTGGGAACTGCATTGTGAGGGGCACAGAAGTGGCTTGGGGACAAATGAGCAGGACAGGCCAGACAGACAGACAGACGATCCCGTGATGAGTACTGAGAATTCCAGGTCCTGGAAGTCTGCCTGGTCAGGCCCTACAACTTCCATCCTTACAGGGCTCTGGAAGCATCTCAGTTCTTCCTAGTACAGACACAGTTGTTATTTGGTCTCTAATCTCACAAGCCCAGAGCCATACAAGCTCTCAGATCCCACCCCTCCCCCACAGCCTTCTGAACTCTTTTTCTTTCAGTTTGTTTTTTTGCAGAGTTGGGAATTGAACCCAGGGGCTTTTGCACAAGAGATTTAGTACTTAGCTAACATCCCCATCCCCTGCTCCTTTTTTGGGACAGGGTCTCACTGTGACATAGCTCAGGTCTCACCACGTTGGAGCACAGGCTCTGACTCCCGACCCTCCTGCACTGGACATGGGTGGAGAGATGGCAGCTGTGTGCTGACCCCACACCAAGCCATCTTTCCTGTATCCAATCTCCTCCCTCTCCGATCACGGAACAGACCGAACACATTCTCTATTTTCTATGGATAAGGTCTCAGCATAAATGATACAAACCAGCTGAGAGCTAGCCACGCACGGCTGCAAGATCAAGTTCTTCACATTATTCGTATAGGCTCTCTAAACCAATTCACACTCTTTCATGGATCCTCACTCCCCAAACATAACATACAAGTTTCATGCCTATGCCCACGCTGTTCTTTTTGCTGGGAAAACTCTCCTATTTTGTTCTTAAGCAAGACACAGGATGGTGCAGGTTGCATAAACCAGTTTATGTAAGTGACGCCCCCTGCCAGTGTCGGACACTGCACAACCTTTCAAGGATGGCTTGTTTCCACCTTCCATGGCCTTGAAGGCGTCCTTGGAATAATTCAACTCTTTGGAAACCCATTGTGCCTCTCAGCCCTACATCAACTTTTCTTTGCAAGAAAGTTACAGTATTTGGAACAGCTGCTGTGAGTGGAACAAGTGAACACTCAAAAAAGACACAAATGATGATGAGATGAAACAAGACTGGTGAGTTGCATGGCTCGGACATAAATAATAAGTGGCTGGACACTTGCCTAGCAGGTTACAGTGAATGTCAAGTTTCCAAGAGGAGGGGACTTTGGCTTTATTTAGTGGATTTCTGTTCACAGGGTCAGAAGGATGTAGACTCATTTCAGCTGCCACAGGCTGGCAAGGACTGAGAAACTATAAATTTCCAGCCAAGGGGGCTGCCTCTGCAATGTACAACATCCTCATTCAGCCATCCCCCAGTGTATCTGGGATTACTGACACTGGCTTTCTTATACCTACACTCGTAGAGAGAAGCTTATAACTGGGCCATTAAGCCAAGAAAAACATGCATTTGCCTGAAATATCTGTGTATCTAGGAAACAGTTTGACTTGAATAATTATATACATACTTAAGATATGTATACACAAATTAAGCCTTACTCTATCTCCTTCCCTTCCTTTGCAGCCTCTCTCCCTCCCTCTCATCTCTGCCTCTTCTCTTTCTGGTTTCTCTTTATCTAAAATTAGTATTCATCCTAATACTTTACATGAATGATCCTTCTTCCCAAAGTCCCTCCTTCCTTCAAAAGAAACAAAGTAATCACTCACTTAGCTAACTGGTCTTGCTTGCTTCTCTCAGTGTAGTCAACTCCTTCAAAATCTGTTGACAACCCTCCTGTTTCCTTTGCTAATGAGCCCCGACCATCACTAACCTTCACATTCTACATCTACTGATTAATCACTTCAAAGTCACTCAACTCATGGCTCTTTTTTCTATGACCCTTGCCAAAAAAGAAAGAAAGAAAGAAAGAAAGAAAGAAAGAAAGGAAGGAAGGAAGGAAGAAGATAAATCAAGTCACTTATTTATATACAGAAGTTAATTTCATTGTATTATTGGGACACCAAGGAAGTAATTCCTATCTGCGAAGTGAAAACACAACCGAACACACACAAAACATTATAATGAGTTTCCTAATTCACTTCTTTTCCAAGCACAGATCTTGGATTTCTTGCCAAGGTGGCACATTGGTAATGGACTCTGCCACTGGTCCACTGCGTTTGCTCCTAAGATTTATACAGAAGTCTTTACTCCCTCCAGGAAGAATACTGTGGAAGCAATCCACTGCTGCGTCAACAAATGCCATGGCCTCTAGCATAGCCAGGCCCATCAGATAAAAGATTACAGGGTGCCACCTTGACTTGAGAGTGAATGGAGGAAAAAAATTAAAACAATCAAGTGGCTGGAGAGGGGAAATTCGTCAAAGAGCTCTCGAACAAGGAGTAAAAGAGATTACACAGTTTGGGTTTTATGCCCAAAATGGCTGTCTCCTCTGAAAGTCCAACTTTAGTCTGCTTATTCCTCCCACCAAATATGCAAAATAAACTCACTTGTTCTAAAAACAGAAAAGTGTTATCGCCATTAAGAAAGAGGTAAGTAGGAACCCAGGAAAGATTCCTTTTCCTTTCATCCTCCTGGGGCAGGGATGGGGGTGGGGTGTGGGTGTGGGGATGGGGGGCATCAACTACGGAAGCCTGTTTCTGGGTTTGGGGAACTTTGGATTTTTCTGCTCTCCCAAGCTAATAGATATCCTTATTTTCTTCCCCACACTGAAGCCCCTCTGAATGAAACCGTAGATCTTCAATACCACACAGTGGACAGGAATTTGCTAGGCCCGTACTTGGTCGGAAAGGAGAGAAGAAAAGGGCACAGACATCCATTATTCAGAGCCTAACGCTAAATCAGCCTCCTTTATAATACAGCAATTCCATCCCAGCACACATTAAGCCAGGGGCAGGGTGTGCAGAGCATGGGGGCAGCGCAGCAGGACCACATTTCTATGGAACAAGACATCATCTTTCCAAACACCACCCGTGTTGGCACATATTTCAAAGTGCTCTTAGCTCAGATTGAATCATCGTGTAAATTACTGTATATTAGCAATAAAAGTTTAGAGAAACCTCGTTAGAGCTCTGCTATTTGCTTAGAATTAAACTACAAAGCCTGGGGGGCGGGGTACCCTAAAATGTGAGGCTCAACCACCCGGGCTGACTGTGCCTGGGAAAGGGGCGGGGTTGGGGACCCACACATCCCTGAGTTGGAGCCAGGGGCCTCCTGAGGTAGGAACAAGCCTGGCAAGGGTCACCAGGCAGACAGGACGGAGACTGGACGGATGGCACGGACGGACGAACGGACGGGACGGGACAGGACGGACTGGACGGGCAGAGAAGCAGTTCGTCCTACCCGGAGGGCTCCCTCCCAGGGCCGGCGGAGTACCTGCTCCGGTCATCCAAGCTGGGGGGGGCGGCGGGTGGCGCG